ACTGACCCCTCCTCTCGCTGCACTCTACTGTCCTGCCACATAGAACGCCTTACATTCATTCCAGCAGAGGCCACGTGCTCGCTCTCCCTCACCTCCAAGCCTTCCCACCTCTCTCCACCCAGATGTTCCTTGTCCCCTCCCCAGTCCTACCCTCTTTGCAGCTGTAYTCTGCATTCTTGGGGTCTCAGCTTAGATGTCACATGCTCCAGGTTCCGTGCTTTTTTGGCTCTCAGGACTATCCCACCTAAAAATGCATTTATATGTATTCCCCAGAGGACAAGATCAGCAGCGAGTGTGCCCATCTTCTTCAATGCTGTAACCCCAGTATCTAGCACAGTGCCTAACACGTAGTACGTGTTCAATAAATATTTGGGGAACAAATGTATGATGAGAACTCTTCCCCTCCAGCAGGGGTTCAAAAGCTAAGGGCTTCTAAKAAGGGCCTGGATAACTCTAGAAGGGAAAGGGAAAGCGAGCAGTCCTGTCCCTTCACATTTGGGCATCTGAAGGGGAGATAAGGGGGAACTCTATTTCACATTCTAGAACTTCAGGATCTGGGCCACAAGGGTAGGAAGTTTTTGGTTTTGGTACTGGGGGTTGAACCCAGGGATGCTTTACCACTGAGCCACATCCCCAACCCTTATTTTTATCTCGAGACAGGGTCTCCCTAAGTTTCTTAGGGCCTTGCTAAGTTGCTGAGGCTGGCTTTGAACTTGTGATTCTCCTGCCTCAACCCCTGCCGTGCCACTGGAATTACAGGCATGCGCCACTGCTACTTGTAAGGGCTGCACATTTGGAAACAAATCATGATTCACAAGGTTGGCCCTCAAGCCCCACATCATGACCTTTGAGTTGAGGGTAGCTGCTAGCTCCAGGACATCGCAGGGTCACCTGAGCCTTCCTCATAAGTCCCCTAGGTGTCTGCCTGCACCAGACCACAATGTGCAGTGCCGAGGGCCCAGATTTGCCACAGAGGTGCCCTTGAAGGACCCTGGCTAGAGCGAGGCAGAAGCCCAGGAGAGACTGATCTCTCAGGACTGGTCCCTACATCCTGAGGGGAAGTCAAAGCCAAGGACTGAAGAGGTTTGGGCTGCGCAGGCCCATCCAGTGAGAAATGTCAGCTTTGGACATGAGCCGGGCTCAGCGTCACCGMAGGCTCTGCTGCCTGGAGTTTGAGGAAAATGAAAAAATATTCCCCCCTCTCAATTTCTATGTCAAATAGAGCCGATCGTAGGAGTCATCAGAGACCAGGTGGGATGTGTGTCAGATAAACACACCTGGGGCACCCCAGGTTCCAGGTGATCCTCAGATGTGGGGTAGAGAGATGCCAGCTTACAGAGGATGCAAGAAACACACAGGCAGCTGAAGGGAGCTGCCCCTCACTCCTTGGCACCCCTGCGGTCGTGGTGACTGCCTGGTCGGTCACTCTCAGAGGAGGCAAGAGCAGTAAAGAGACAAGGCTCCGAGGTAATGAGGGAATTTAGGTCTTTCCATGAAAACAGCAGCTTCCAATCAGAGAAACAGACGACAGGTGTCAAGCCACCAACCTGCGAAGGGCAAAGTCCCCACCTGGCACAATCTGATGGTTGGGACAAAGCGAGCCGAGAGGTAGAATGAGCCCTTTCTGGGCTAACGTGACCAGATGGCTCTGGGACACCTGCCACTCACTGCAGAGCCCCTCATAGAAGCTGGCTGCGTGCATCTGCTTAATGAAACCCTCTCCRCCCAGGGTCTCCAAGCCCTGCTGCAGTGACTATGCCTTTAATTAAAGGCAGAACGCACAGCAGGGGGCTYGGCTACACTGCAGGATTTGGTGCTGCAAGGCAAAAAAGTTACCATGAATTTTTCTAGGCAAGCAAAATGCGGATGACACTTATTATCAGATATGTCTCCAGGAAAAGAACACTCTGTAGTTCAGAGGAAAAAAATGCTAGTTTGGGTTAATTTTTGGTTTGTGTCTTTTAAACATAGAATATTCTTACTTGTTTAGGAGTAAKGCAATAACTGGGATATAATTATTTAGGCCTCACTTTGCTATACTTTAGAGATGGAAATACATTTAGAGATGAAGAAATCAAGGCTTCAGAGAGGTTAGGTAACTTGCTTGAGGTCACAGTTATAAACAGCAGGACTGGGATGCAAACCAGACGTCTGGCTTTTACATTTTAAGTTTTTATGTTTTATTATTGGAGGTAATATGTCTTTGAGAGTGTTTGTTGTTGTTCATATTGCTGTTTTGGGTACCAGGAATTGAATTCAGAGGCACTCAACCACTGAGTCACATCCCCAGCCCTATGTTGTATTTTATTTAGAGACAGGGTCTCACTGGGTTGCTTAGCACCTCGCAATTGCAATTGCTGAGGCTGGCTTTGAACTCACTATTCTTCTGTCTCAGCCTCCGAGCTGCTGGGATTATAGGTGTGCACCACGGTGCCTGGCTTGTTGTTGTTTTTATAAAGCATGGCACACTTGAGAGCGAYGGGGCATCCTGAAAGGAGTAGCTGCAAATTGGGGTTGGTCCATTTATGAGGTCAGTCTCTGCAGATGACCTTCAGGTTCAAGTCACAGTATTTTTTTTTTTTTTTAAAAGAGAGAGAGACTGACTCTTTTTTTTTTAGATGGACACAACACAATGCCTTTATTTATTTTATGTGGTGCTGAGAATTGAACTCGGGTCCTGCCCGTGCTAGGCGAGCGCTCTACCGCTGAGCTACAATTCCAGCTCTGAGTCACAGTATTTTTAAAGGGTCTTTTCTCTAATGATGGATGTGCACGGGTGTCCACTGTAGCAATGTTTTAAGAGTAAAAGCAACCAGACTTTCATCAGAAATAACACTGGAGAGCTGGAGGTCAGCTCAASGACAGAGCATACCCTGCATGAGGAATGGAAATGGGTTCCCAGCACACATACAAAAAAAGTAAAATACAGGCTGGAAAAGTAAATCATGGGGCAAATATACAATGAAATAATAGGTAGCAGTAACAAAGAGCAAATCCTTTTTGTACTGACATGGAACTACTGGCTAGCTATATCGGAAAGAAAAGCAAAGTACAGAATACTACAGAGTTTATCCTCTGTGTAAAAGAAGGGCAAATACCATGCACGTGTTACCTGTTTATTCAGAGAAGGTCTCTGGAAGGGTACAGGAGAAACTGTAATACTTGTCTCTAGGGAGGAGAGGGGCCACTGGGGATAAGAGTAACAAGTTTTTCACTCTGTGTCCTTTTGTCCTTTTTGATTTCAAATCACAAAACCATATTACCTATCCGGAAAATGTGATATGTCCTCTTAAAAACCAATGAGAATATGTGAACTTAAAACAGAATAGAAAAAAACTAATACACAGCCATGCAATCATGTCAATCAAACACGTGCAGAGAACAAGAAGTCCCTATATAAAGATGGTAACAATCTTCTCCTTCTGTTCTCTGTTTTTTTTTTCAAATTCTTATGATGTGTTCATAATAAATACTTTATATGCAATTTTTCTATTTAACCTTATTTCCTCTTTGGCTCTATCAGTATTTCTTTCTTTTGGTTTCCTTTCTTACTTCTTTCAGTGCAGGATCAAACCCAAGGTCTCAGGCATGCTAGGCAAACACATGCTCTACCCCTAAGCCACATTCCCAGCCCTCTACCAGCATTTCAATCAGTCATTCTGGGCAGAAAGATGGATAAGACCACCAGAGACTCCAGAATCAGAATTTCATGGTATATTCAATAAAGCACTCCCACCATTCCTAAAAAGTTGCCAAGTCAATCGTTTTCAACATTTTATGAAAATACATGTTGTATAAAAAACAAAATAGAAAGGTTCTTAGACAGTAAAAAGTGAGAGGGAAGCAAACCATTTGACGACACAAGCAGTTTCACAATTCTACTAGAGGGCCCTTACCTTCAAATGACTACTCTTCAACTTCCTGTGTTTTTCCTTCATTCTCATCACAAGTAACCAAGGACACCACAATCTGTCCTAAGCGTCTCTCTCCCAAACATTAAAACTATGGGTTTTTTTTTTTTCTTTTTTTCTTCTGTTTAAAAAGGGGAGGTGGACCAGGTGTGGTGGTAATACAACTGTAATCCCAGCTACTCAGGAGGCTGAGGCAGGAGGATTGCAAGTTAGTGAGACCCTGATTCAAAAGAAAAAAATAAAAATAACTGGGGATGTAGCTCAGTGGTAAAGCATCCCTGGGTTCAATCCCAACTACCAAAAACAAAA